ACTACAACTACCATCCAACACTACCTACCCAACAACTACCAACCCAACAACTATCAACCCAACAACTATCAACCCAACAACTATCAACTAAACCACTATTGGTATCAGTAGATCCAAAGTTAATAAATAAAGCATCACCACCCACAACACCACAACAACCAAATAACTCATTAACACCAACATCATCATCATATAGATCTGTTTTAAAACCATCTAATATTTTAAAGTATTCCAAAAACGCTATCGAAGAAACCCTTTATAGACCATCAGCTAATGAAAATCAATCTAAAAAATTAGTACAGGATCAAGAAACTCAACAATATATTAATTTATTAACTGTTGGTTTTAAAAAGTTATTCGAAATAAACAATGGAGAAACAAATCAAAAAGACGGGGCTTGTATTATTAGTGATTTTTCAAAAGAAGATTTTAATCAAGAAACCAATATTAAAATCCCAATTGATTCAGGTGAAGATTTAGATGACGAACAGATTATAAATCAATTCCATCTTTTAGAACCAGAATCCACATCTGAATGTTCATCATCAACAGTAACAACAATAGCAAGAACAACAGAATCATTAAATACAACTATAACCTCACCAATAGTCGCTTCAAACACAGATCTATCATCTACAGCATCATCAACATCCTCATTATCAGATAAATGGCAGTTTACAATATTCTCACCAAAGGTTTTTAAGGCAATAAGAAAATATTATAATGTCGACAACGATTTCCTTAGAACCAAATCATCAATAGGCAGCCCAGATATATCTGATATTGTAAAGTTTTTAGAGGTTCAAACTGTGGGTAGAAGTGGTAGCTTTTTCTATAAATCAGATGACTCTAAATACTTTTTAAAAACAATCCCATCAAGCGAGTATGAAACATTCACTCAATTATTTCCATCATACTATCAACACATTATGAAGTATCCAAATTCTTTGCTTCCAAGATTCTTGGGAGTATATCGCTTAAAGGGTAAATTAAAATTAAGTGGTGCTTCCTATTATAATAGTTCCCATAGAGATATCATATTTGTTGTAATGGTCAATCTTTTCTATTCTGAACAAAAGTTGGAAATTAAAGAAAAATATGATTTAAAAGGTTCAACAATAGGTAGATATGTTGATGTTAATAAAATTCAGCAAAAATTAGCCAAGGAGCAACAACAGCATCACCATCAAAACGGTACAGATAGTTTGAATACAAGTAATAGTGGTAATAAAATAAATGTAGAAAATAGTATTAATATTCAAACTCAGGATTTAACATTCAAGGATTTAAATTTAAAAAGAAAGATTCATTTAGGCAAATTAAAAAATGTATTTATACAACAATTATCAATCGACTCTGAATGGATGTGCAGCCATGGTATATGTGATTATAGTTTATTGGTTGGTTTACATTTAAGTGACAACAAATCAATTCAAACTCTTAAAGAATCTCAAGGTCCAAAGTTACTTGAGAAAAAGGATATATCCTATTTCAAAAAGGATTTTAATGGTATTATTGAAAGAATTCAAACCCCTCAACAACCAACATCATTATCAACTTCAAATATAATTTATAGATCGAATACAGAAGAAAGTGATGGAGGTATAGTTTATTATTTAGGTTTAATTGATATCCTAACAACTTATAATTTAAAAAAGCGTGGTGAAAATGCTTTAAAAGGAATTTTCTTTGATAGAGTAAGTTTAAAATTAAATTTAATATTTTTTTTAAAAAGGTATCTCAATACTAATATAATTTTTAATTTTTTTTTCTTTTTTAGACTAAAATATCAGCAGTTAATCCAAAAGATTATCAAAGTAGATTTATAAAATATATTGAATCAATATTTGATTAATATAATAGTATTTTTTGTTCCTAATATATAAAAAAATAAAATAAAGATAAAAATAAAAATAAATTAAGTTATATTTTTATAGAAATTAAAAAAAAAAAAAAAATATATTTTTCTTTTTTTATTTTGTTATTTTTTTATTATGCACATAAAGAGTAAAGAGAAAAAAGAAATAGAGAAATTAATTTCATATAGTAATTTTGGGTGGATGTGTGTTAATTTGTGTGCGAATGTATTTTTATATATTTTTCTTTTTTTATTTTTAGAAATTAAAAAAAAAAAAAAAAAATCATTATTTCTTTCCAAACACTCACACAAAAACACAAATACAAATAAAAAAATAATTTAAAATCGAATACAAATAATTTATGAAATTTTAAATTACTTTATTGAATATTATTTATTATTTAAATAAACTTTAGTTTGTTCTAAAAAATTCTCTATTATATTTATTATTTTATTATAATTTATTGATGAATTATCTTTGGTATATTTTTCATAAAATTCCATATTTAAAAACTCTTAATAGTCTTCTTTTAATGCTGAAATTAGACTAGATTGACCGTTACAACTTGATAGTAGTGGCGATGAGTTTATTGAAATAAATATTTTAGGAATTGATAATATCTAAAGAGGTATTGATTTCTAAGCTTTAAGCCAATGATGTATAGTATTTAAATCATTGTCACATCTATTGTTACTATGGCAAAAGTTATTAATGAAAAAAATATAAAAAAAATTTTAATATAATACTTCTTTTTTTAAATATATAATTTATATAGAATATATCTATATATATTAGTTATATAAAATATTTTTAAATTAAATAAAGCTATTTAACCAATTTTTATTTTAAATTTATTAGTTTTTATAGATAGATTAACCCACTTTTTAATATAAAAATGAATATATATAAATAGATTAAAAAAAATATTAAATTATGATTGAAAGAATTTGATTATAATTTAATGGAGGAAACTGTTTATAGCCCAGAATAATTTTTCTGAGGTTTTGTTTGAAAAATAATTGTTAAATACAAAAAAATCAATAGATGTTGAACATCTTTGTGTCGATCACAAAAAAAAAATATTTTTTTAATTTTTTTTAAATTTTTTTAAAAATTTTTTTTGATATTTTTAAAAAAAAAACTATTTTTTTTTTTTTTTGATATTATTAATATTTATTTTATTGTTATATTTTATTGTTGTATTTTTATTGTAAAAAAAATGATTAAAAGAATTAATTTAAACCCAAGCAAATTAAACTTAAGCCAAAAGGCTTTAATAGGTTATCAAAATAAAAGCTTTTCAACTATTGTTAATCAAAGACAACAAGAGCAACAAGAGCAACAAAATGATAACAACCAAAAAGATAATAATAATAATTTTAAATTTAAATCAGTATTAGTTGGTGGTATTTGTTTAGCATCAATTTTAACCACTAGTGTAATTTTAGCAGAAGATGAAAATAAACAAACATGGAGAGAAAAGATCATCAATAATTATCAAAATAGAATTAGAGAGTTTAGCACCCCAGAAAAAGTATTTCAAATTTTTGCTTCAGTCAGAAAAAATGGTATATATATACACACAATATTTTTAACCAATAATTTTTAAAATAAATAAAATAATAAAATTTTAATAATAATCATTTATTAATTTTTTAAATAGGCCAATCATATATGACAGTTGAAGATTTTATTAGAGCAATTTTACCACATCAATATAAAGCCAGTTCAGACACATCAACTAAACCAAAATCAGTTAATATTAAAGATATACCATATTCATTTAAAATTGCAGATGTTGATGGTGATGGATTAATTTCATTCAGCGAATTTATGTTTTTCTCAACACTCTTATCAATCCCAGAAAACAGTGCGCCAATTGCATTCAAAGTTATGGATATTAACGGTGATGGTTCAGTCGATATCAATGAATTTATTTCAATTATAAAGATCCTTTCACACCAATCACCATTTGCTATGAACGCCACCACATCACCAAACACTGCACCATTTACATCAAAAGGTTCACTCTCATTCCTTTTTGGCAAGAATGGCGAAAAACGTTTAACTGGTGCACAATTCCAACAATTTCTTTCACAATTGCGTCGTGATGTCCTTCATTTAGAATTTAACTTTTATGACCCAAAATCAACTGGTGTTATCTCTCAAAGAGATTTTGGTTTACTTTTAATCTCCTATTGTAAATTAGGCCAAATGAAGCAACATATGGGTGCTCTTTCAAGTCTCCCATCCACTGTCGACTCACAAAACAAAGGTATTACTTTTGAACAATTTGTATCATTCAATAAACTCTTAGATAAACTCCCAGATGTCGAATTATCAATGGATCTCTACAAAGGCTCAAACCAACCATTCAACAAAAGCCAATTCAAATATGTTTCTAAAATTATAACAAATGAAGAGCCAGCTCCACAAGTTGTCAACACTGTTTACACAATTTTCGATACCGATAAAAATGGTGATTTAGCAAAAGACGAATTTGTTGAGCTTATGGAAAGAAGAAAATATAGAGGTTTAAATTCAAATCGTGATACTGGTTTTATCGAAAAATTAAAGAAAATTTATAAAATTTTAATTAACCAAGAATAAATTCTAAACCAAATTAAATTCATAAATATTAATTAAAAATAGTAGTAGTAGTAATAGTGACAGTGGTAGTAGTAGTATTAATAAAATAAAATAAAAAAATAATAAAAAAAAAGTTTTAACAACCAAATAAATAATTTTAAAAAAAAAAGGATTTTAATTTTAATTAGTTTATTTATATAGTTTATTTTATATACATTATTTGGTTTATTTCATTTTAACTAATTCTTTTAAACTTGCTTGGGCTTCATTAAGTTGGGCTTCAATATATTTACCTTGATTCTATATTTTTAAAAAAAAAAAGAGTTAATATTTATACTTATTTATAGTTTTATTTATATTAATTATTATTTTAATTATTGCATTGTTATTACTATTATTATTATTAACATTATTACTACTACTATTATATTATGAATATATTATTATTTGTTTTTAAATCTTACAATATAACCTGTGGATTCTTCTTCTCTTTTAGCAGCTTGTTGTTTTAATTCGACTTTTAATGTATTAATTGGTGCAACTACAAACATCTTTCCAACGGCTTTATAGGTTTTAGTGGTTTGTGGTAATGATTCTAATTCTTTAACTGTTATTAAACATTTCTTTCTATCTGTTTCTGCTATTTGAACACGTTGTCTAATACTATTTAAATTTTTATTTAATGCAAATATCTTTTCACGAGTTTCAAAGAATGCTTGTTTATCTAAAATTTCCATTTCCATTTTCTAGATTTATATATATATTATATTATATTAATATTGTTGAATATTAATAATTAGATTTATTTGATTATTTAAAAAATTAAAAATAAAAAGAAAAAAATTAAAAAATTTTAAAAAAAAAAAAAAAATTTTAAAATTTAAAAAAATTTTTTTTTTTTTCATTGTATTTCATATGATTTTATCTATTTATTAATTTTTATTATTATTTTTTTTTTATAACATTATATTATTTTAATATTTATTTATTGGGTTTTTATATTTATAAATAAAATTTGCAATCAATAAATACGAATTTATTTATAAGTATTTCAAAAGTTTATTATTTTAATCTTTAATAAAACTACCCATTAACATTTGGGATATTTATTTTTGATTTATAATGTTGGCAACACCAATTTTTAAATTTAGTTTTTATAAAAATTCTTTTAATAATTAATTATAAAATATAATTTTAATCAAATTAAAATAAAAAAATCTATAAAACCTCGACAAACTTC